TTCCACCTGGTGATGGCTGCTTAAGTTTGGGAAGGGGGCCAGATCTGCAGCTGGGGACCGGGGCTCCAACCTGCCCCTCTGCAGGTCAGCGACCATGTGGCTCTCCGCACATCCCTTCAGGTCTCCAGACACGAACAGGGGAGGACAGGTTCCAGAAATCCCCATGGCAAGAAGAAAACAGCGTCGCAGCTTTGTTTCTGTACTTTATTTTTTAATTGCTATAGTAATACTATGGGTGTGAGTTCAGGGCAAAAAAAAAATAATATATATATATGTCTAAAAAAGAGTCCCGAGGGCAGAAAAATACTCAGAAGTCAAAGAAGTAAAAGTCTAGGATCCTTTATCATGAGGGGTCACTATATTTTCTGCAACTGAAAGTAGAGCCAGGAGAGAAGTGTGCAGACCTCTCTCCCAGATGCTGAGGGCCCACGGAGACAGCCACGCTCAGCTCAGCATTGAAAGATAAACTAAGCTAGCCTTGGGTTAAGGGGTCCATGTGGGGCACTTTGGCTTCTTTCTACTCCCTCCAATTCCCACTGCCAGTTGCAGAGGAGAGTGCTCGGAGAGGATGTGGCCGGCACATCCCAACAAGGCACATGTGTTGTCCCCTCTGGGTCTCAGTTTGCTCTTGTGTAAAATGGAGCTGAAAACTTGCAGCTTCCCTAAATTGCCAGACCAGCCCATAAAACGACGCGCCTGGTGGTGCAAACATGAAGGAACTGCACAAACATGATACCTTGATGGCCATCCTCGCTACATCCCCACACCAAGTTTATGATCTAAGCATTAAAACATCCGCGTATTGAGTATCTCCCAGGTGCAGATGCTGGGCTCGCCACCAGAGATGCTCACAGACAGTTCATGGCCAGCTGGGTTCAGGTGTGGCCTGAGGGACCGGCCTCTGCAATGCCATGCGTTCAGGGGTGTCCAAGAGAGGGAAGAACAGAGCACTCTACAGCGGAAGCCTGGGTGACAGTCACGGGAGACAGTGATGGCCACACAGCCTCATAAACAACAAGGACATCAGTCAGGAAAACAGAGAAGGATGGCACCACAGAGCCTTCCAGCAAAACCCCAAGCATAATGATAAAATGAACCAAAAAAGGGACCTCATAGATGGGATATAAGCCAGGTGGACGGCTCTGCATGGCTGAGCACAGAATGACAGAAAAGGGACGATCAGAGAAGCTACAGAAACAGACATGGGTGGGATCTTGAACGTGATCCGGAAAGCAGATCATGAAGTTCACATGCCATTCCTAGGAAGCACCGGGAGGATGTTAAGTAGAGATGTGAAATTCTCATTGCAGAGAATGCACAAGGGGTGAATGAGCTAGAAGGCAGGGAGAGGTCCTACTTAGAAATGAGGGTTGAGAGAAAGAAACGAACCTCAACAGAAAAACTCTCAGAACTCTAGGGAAGAAAATGGTGTCCCAATATATTTTAAAGCCTGGAAGAAATGGTGATGTATATCTAGACGTAGATATAGATCTATATAAACCAACTGCAAGGGTAGGCACTCAACCCAGCAACTAACACACGCTAAGATGCCCATTCCTGTGTCACAGGGCCAAGCCTGATTCCTGGCTCCAGATCCCAAGTCCAGCTTCCTGTTAATGTAGACTCTGCTGGCTCAGGGAGGTGAGTGTGTCACCCACAAAACAGCCCTGGATTGCGTTCCTGGCTCCCAGCTTGGCGTGCTCCAGATGGCAGATACTGAGGGCATCTGTGGAGTTAAATTGTGGATGGTGGCAGTGTTCTCTCTCCCTCTCTCTCTCACACACACAATTCTCCCTCTTTCTCTCTCTCTCTTTCTCTGTCATTCTCTCAAATACATAAATAATCATCATCATATTCTTTTTTTAAAAAGATTTATTTGATTTTCATTGGAAAGTCAGATATACAGAGAGGAGAGACAGAGAGGAAGATCTTCTGTTCGATGATTCACTCCCCAAGTGAGCACAACGGCCGGTGCTATGCCGATCCAAAGCCAGGAGCCAGGAGCTTCTTCCCAGTCTCCCACACGGGTGCAGAGTCCCAAGGCTTTGGGCCGTCCTCGACTGCTTTCCCAGGCCACAAGCAGGGAGCTGGATGGGAAGTGGAGCTGCCAAGATTAGAACCAGCGCCCATATGGGATCCTGGTGCGCTCAAGGTGAGGACTTTAGCCACTAGGCTACGCTGCTGGGCCCTATCATCATGTTCTTAAAAACTAACTCAGTGGTGTGTTTTCTCATGCTGCCGTAATTTTGTTGTTGTTATTGTTGTTGCTGCTGTTGTTCTAATTCATACCGGTTGTTGACCTTATTTCATGGCTTCTCATTTATGGGAATGTATAGTGATGGAGTAATAGAGACTACCATATCCAGATGTGGGTACAATGCAACATGCATCCCTGCTTCCAAATCAAAGATGGACTCCCAATGAAACTGTTGGAAATGTGTAGACAATGGGATGGACTGTCTGACATTGTCTGTACCAGCAATGTTGGGGCACACTTAAATAAGAGACTGATGGAATTATGACTCCTTATGAAGGACTATACTATTGTAGCAACATGAGAAAAATCTGTCCGGAGGTGAGAGTTTGGGGGAGGAATCCTAGTCTACATGAAATTGTACCATAAAATTCAAAGTTCAACATAAAAACTTAACAAAAAAAGAAAACACTAACTCTAAAAAAAGGAGGAGATTCTCAGTGTTCCATTAGACATTACAGAAATAGAATCAGCATTGAACATTCTTCCCATGCAGAAAACAACAGAACCATGGATTTGGGGGGGAGATAATTTCTACAAAACACTGCACATATGAGTAATTCCCAAGAACAGCTTAAAAAAAGAATACCCACTCATTTTATGAAATTATCATTTTAACAACAAAACCAGACAAGAATAATTCCAGAAAGAAGATCACTCATAAAATATCAGCCTCACTCCTGAAGACTTCCTAAATAAAACATAAGCAAAATAAATCCATCGTACAAATAGAAGCCATGAGCAGCGGTATGGATCGATAAATTGTAGAGGGACTGTGCAATAGAACACAACAGAGCAGTAAAAATGAATGACCTCAACCCCACACGTCAGGAAAGATGAAACTTAAAACCCTGACACTAAGCAGGCAGACAGAGAATGATTTCATTTGTATAAAATCTCCCAAGTGAGAATAACACCGATGAGACGTTATTGAGGGGCATATAAATCACACAGCTGAATTGTAAAGACGAGCGATGGAAGTGTAAACACAATGTCCCCTATGACCGTGGTTACTTCTCAGCAGAATGGAAGAGGCAATGAAGGATGGACGTGTGCGAGGTCCCAGGGGTATTAAGCACGTCACTCTGCACGTGGGGAGAACCCAGGCACTCATGACATTGTCACTCTAGGTCATCTTTCATATGGCTGTGCAAGCTGGGCACTACACAACCACACATGGCCCATTTTCCACTAAACATCATGGAATATAAATTCTTCTGGGCAGGGATTTTATAGCAAGGTAAGTTTTAAGCTGGGCCTGAATGTTTATTTAGATAGTTTTATATTTAAAACTTCTATAATAGACTCTTTTGCATCAATGAAAAATGTCAAGAAGCAGGAAAACAGGTAAGCATAGAGCTTTCCTTAACCAGTGCAATCAAATCAATTTCCATCATAAATTGCTCTTTCTTTCATCTGCAATTTTTAAGCCCAATGACCAATGAAAAGTACAGTCAAGTCCTCCTCCTCTTTGTAGTCTGTAATTACAAATTCAGTCAACCACCAGATTGAGGGTGGGGGGGAATGGACCTGAACTGAGCATATGTGGTTATTTTTTGTCTTGTCATCATGCTCTAAGCAACACCATTATTGACATAGCATCGTACTGCTTAGGAATTCTGATCAAGAAATGATATCAAGTTCACAGGAGGATGTGCACTGGCTGAGTGCAAACACCACGCCATTGATGTAGACGAGCCTGGAGCATCTGCAGATCTGGGTGTCAGCAGGGAGAAGTGGGGACTATGGAACCAACCACAAAGACATAGAGGAGCGAATGTCTGCCTAGTAAGCCTGTCTCTCCACTGACCATGTTCTTGCCATATCTGTGGACCACCCTTGGCTGTTTCTTCGTGTGCCTCATAAAGTTCTCTTGAAAATGGGACATTTAACAATATGATTTGATGGAGCCTGGTGCAGTGACCCCATTAGCTAACCTCCCCATCAAGCACCACGATCCCATATAGGCATTGGTTTGTATCCTGGCTGTTCCACTTCCCATCCAGTCCCCTGCTTGTGGCCTGGAAAGCTTCAGAGGATGGCCCAAAGCCTTGGGACCCTGCACCCATATGGGAGACATGGAAGAAGCTCCTGGATTCTGGCTTTGGGTCTACTCAGCTCCCACCATTGTGGCCACTTGGGGAGTAAACCAACAGACAGAAGATCTTTCTCTTTCTCCTTCTCTGTAAATCTGCCTTTCCAACAAAGAGAAACAAATCTTTAAAAAAAAAAAAAAAGCATGATGTGGCAACTCTAGAAATCTCACCAGATTCTAATGTAGAAATGTTACTAGCAGGCATGCATGCATGTCTCATCAGTCCCAATTCTAACCCAGCAAATCTAAGTTCAAAGAGCCTTTCTAAAATGCTGGTTTCATTACTGCCCCTATTCTATCCACTCATTTTTCTCCTGTTCTTCCCACTGTTTCCTTCTAGGGTCTCCTACATTTGTGTTCCAGGTCTCTTAGCTTTCCCCTTGTGATCCACTGTGGAATTTCCACGGCATTAGGTTCCCCCACCCTGACCACCCCACACACACACTTGCATCTCCTTCAACTTGTCCACGACACTTTAATGTGAAAATCTCACTCTGTTTTTCGTATAAGAGAACTCTTCATACTGTAGAAGCAACTCTGGAGGTGACGTAGGTTTGAGGTTGCTCCTCCGTCCCCTCCATCAGTGCCATCTCAAGGACGGAGGCCTCTTTGGCAGGGGCTCCTGTCACTCTTCTCCCTGCTTCTCAGCACCTTGGCTGTGCTGCTTTCATACCCATTCACATACACAATCAGAGAACCATCGCAGAAGGACATGTTGAAATCATACTTGAAGAAGAAAACACAGGTGTAAACGTGGCATTCAAACACAAAGACATGCATCTAACTTAGCAGTTAAGTCACGGACCCATTCACCTGCTTCCCATACTCCAGTGTGTGGGTTCCTGACTCCAAGCTCCTGCTAATGCAGCCTCTGGAAGACAGCAGGTGACGGCTCCAGCAGCCGCATTGCAGCCACTCGTGTGGGAGACCAGGACCGTATTCCTGACTTCCCAGCTCCAGCTCGGCCTCAGGTCCTGCCATCATGGGCACTTGGGGAATGAGGCAGAACATGGGGATTCATTCATTCATTCATTCTCATTTTTTCTCTGTAACATTTTTAAATTTTTAAGCTTTTAATAAATAAAAATTCACTGTTGTATAAAAATGTTGATAACTATGCATCTTTTTTTTTTCATAACACATATTCTCTGCAAATTTTTTGAACATCCTTTGTGTACCTGCATTTCAATTTGGGGTCGGGGGAGGAGTGGTGAGGAGGAACCAACATTAACTTATCTTTCAATTCCATCTTCCACCAACATTCTGAAGTCCCCTCTTATATGTTATGATGAAGTTCCCCGGCCACATTTAAGCTATAGCAGTTTATCATCATGTTGGGGGATCACAGGGATCAGCCATGTAACAGAAAGATGAGATTCTATCCTGGTTATCTCCTTACAAGGAGAAGAAACAGAACAAGAGCTGTCTGTGTTCATATAATGAGAAAGGAAAGATGCAGGAGACGGATGCTAACACCAGCTCCTCCAAAAAAGTCCCACAGAGCTGCCCTGCCCCTCCCAGGCACACGTGGCTATGGAGCACACAGAGCGCGACTAGCCTCAAGTGAGACGGGTTCAAAGTGTAAAACAAACACTTGATTTCAAAGACTTAGTATAGAAAAAAAAGCAACATAAAGCATTTCATTTAGAATTTTTATATTGGTTAGATGTTGAAATAACATTTGGATACATTGGGTGAAATGAAAATATGCTACTAAAATTAATTTTCACTTGTGTCTTTTCACTTACTGTGATGTAGCCACTAGAAAATTTATAGCTATGCAAGTGACTTGCAATATATTTCTATTGGCCAATGCTACCCTGCAGGATCCTGGAGTAGTTCTGAGGAGAAGGAACCCCACTGATCTAAGGCAGGTGATATTTCCAATTCTCTTTATTTACCAATTTGCAGTCTTGGGTTCAGAAGTAACAATAAGATTCCTGGTTTAGGTGGTTAGCCAAGTGATTAAGATGCTGGTTGAGGGAATCAGCCTAGCGGTACTCAGATAAGGCTGCCACTTGAAACACCAGCATCCCATATTGGAGCACCGATTGGAGTCTTGTATGTCTTGGATGCTCTGCTTCAGATCCATCTCCCTGAATGCGCCCAGGAAAAGGCTTGGGACCCTGCCACCCACACAGGGCACTTGCATCAAGCTCCAGGCTCACGGCTCCAGACTGGCCCAACCCTGGTATTAAGGCCACTGAGGAAGCAGCAGATCTTTCTCAGTCTCTCTTTCTCCCTCTCCTACCCCATCACCCTATCCTAGTCTTTCAAATGAATGAATCTTAAATAATAAAACACAAAAATGCTGACCAGGACATCTGTGTCCCTTATCACAGTACCAGGTTTCATACTGGCTCTTCTGCCGATTCTAGCTTCCTGATAATGCAGAACCTGGGAACATGGCGGGGTAGGGGAGAGGTGCAGGTAATGGCCCAGTGGGTCAAGCTCATTGGGTTCCTGCCTCCTATGTGGGAGATGAAGATTAAGTTGCAGGCTCCTGACTTCTGCCTGGCCCAGGCCTGACTGTTGCACATCTTTAAGATTATAAACAACAGCCTGTGGCATACATACTCTCTATCAATGTTTTTTTTTTTCCTAAAGAAGATACATTCCAAAGAGACTTCAGAGAGGAATAATCAACACCTCATGGTGAGGCAGATGCCAAGACTGGAGTCAGTCCACACCCATTTCAGTTACTGGGGCTGATGAGAAATGACCATACATTTTAAGCCACAAGAATGAGTTAACCACAAAGATAGAACTTATTATAGCCCCTCAATGAAACTGAGCAACTGCATAAATGGATAAACTGCCTAAACCGGGAAACCAGCAGTTTTAGTAGTTGCACCACAAGCTTCACTTTGAATAGTGTGATCATATGCGACAATTAGACTCAGCTGAGGCCTCACAGTGATCACATTTTTGTGGGTCCCTCCCAAAACAATCAGGGCCCACCGGCCCAGTGTGAGGGGCTGCATTTACAAAGAGGTGAATGCCCAATGGGAGTCAACCAACCCACGTCCCTACTGGAAAGCAGCTCTGCTCTGCCAAGCAGAGTCTTCAAGGGTGCAGAAGGAAGAGTGGGGCTGCTGCTCCGAGAAGTGCCTGCGTCTCCTCAGAAGCTCGTGACAGGTTGTAAAACAGAAGCCTCTTGCTGCTCTTGCTGGCAAGGCTGGAGAGCAGGGGCCAGAGCAGGAGGAGTGGGCGGGCAAGCACACAAGGGCTGCAGCCAGCAGGTGGAGCATGCCCAACCCAGGTGCTCCTGCGCTGAGAAGGGCCCCTCTCCCACCTTGCAGTCCTGGGAGAAGACAAGCAGGGCGAGGGAAAAAAATGACCAGTCCCTGGGCTCAATCCCACATCTGCCCCAGAAACCAAAACTCTCCTTAATCTCGTTTTGCTTTGTTGTTTTTGTGTTTGTGTTTTAACTGAAAGGAGGAACTCGCTGAGATTCTGGAGAAACCGGGAGCTGCTGACCATTTGTGGGCAAAGAGCGGCAGAATCTGCTGGAACACTCATTCATGTCCTCTTCCAGAGCCACCTGGGATAGAGAATGGCTCCTCTCAAAGAAATGAGGCCTGACGCTCAGAAGGAAGCTGTAGCAGGAAGTGGGTGTGGTATCAAGGTAGAAAACAGATTGCTGCAGAAAGACTCTCCAGAACGGTGGGTTTTAGCAGTTGATACCCACTTCCCCCTTCAGAGTACCTGGCTTTGGATCTTGGTTCCAACTCGGAATTCCAACTTCCTGCAAACACGTATCCCCGGGGGGAGAACTAGTGAATACAAGAGCCCCACTTTTATTATTATTCTTTTAATAAAAAGATCAGAAGCCTAGTCTCTCCATTCCTGATTTTGACAAAGATGTGTTAACATCATCATACAAGACTGGACACTTAGGTTACAGCAAAAGATAAGAGAACAACATCTGGCTCTCTAAGAACGTGCAGGCTAGAAAGAAAACACAATAAAATTAACATTTTTGTTCACCAGGAAAGTATTTTTTTACTGGCATTTTAGCGTAGCTAATAAACCTGTGACACTAGAATCCCATCCGGATTCCAAGTCGTGGCTCCTCCAGTTCAGCTCAATGCTGATGGCCTGGGAAAAGCAGGGGACAACCGGGCCCAAGGGCTTGGATAGCTTGGATACCTGCCACCAGTGTGGGAGACCTGCAGGAAACTTCTGACTCCTGGATCAGACCTGGCCATCTGATTACTACCATCTGGGGAACTAAACCAGCAGGTAGAAGATCTCTCTCTCTGTCTCTCTATAGCTCTCTCAAATAAACAAATAAATCTTTTTTTTTAAGAAAGAAAAGGTTGAAAATGTAGGTATTGATTGAGAAACAATATGTAACCAATAAAAAATAGTATTCAGAATATGTAAGTGACAGTTACAAATAAAAAGAAGTAAAAAACACGCAAAAAGCCACATAGGCAAAAAATATGAGTAAGCAATTCAGAGAAGTAAAAAATTAAATGCCAATAAACATGAAGAGATTGTTAGTATTATAATCAGAGAAATACAAACTACAGCCCCAGAGATGTCATTTTGTAGCTCTGAAACTAGAAAAACCAAAAAGCCTAACAACACCCACAATCAGAGGTCATACGGCTCAAGAATGAATTCTGATCTTTCAGTTACAATGCAAATCGGTATCACACCTTTGCCTACTAAGGGTTGTGACAGTTCCTGAGGCTGATCCCGGGCCAGTCACGTCACTTGGCCACCCCACTCCCATGTAGAAAACTTAGAGAAACTCACAGACTAGAAGAGACACAAAACTGTTTATAAAAACAAAACAGATTCCTACAGGAGAATATACGTTTTGATGTCTTCAGGAAGTGAAATAATACTCCACAGCAGGAGAAATGAATTAATTAAAAATACATATAGGGGACAGGCATGCAACTACCATGAGACAGACATGCCAGTATCGTGTATTGAAATGTCAAGTTCAAGTCCTGGCTGTGCTACTTCCAATCCAGCTCCCTGCTAATGTGTCTAGATAGGAGGTAGAACAGCTAAAACAGTGTCCCAATGGGATGCTGACATCACAAGATGGAGTGTTAACCCATTAAGTCACAATGCCAGCCCAGTAATAATATATTTTTAAAACTACATTTAACAACATGAATGAATCTTGTTAGTAACACTGAGCAACTAAAGTAAGTTGATTTACTTATTTTGATAACATAAAGTTTTAAAGCACCAAAACATCACATATTTTGTTTATGAATAAATAGTAAGGGGCCCAGCACAGTGGCCTGGCGGCTAAAGTCCTTGCCTTGAAAGCGCCAGGATCCCATATGGGCACTGGTTCTAATCCCTGCTGCCCTGCTTCCCACCCAGCTCCCTGCTTGTGGCCTGGGAAAGCAGTTGAGGACAACCCAAAGTCTTGGGACCCTGTACCCATGTGGAGGAAGTTCCTGGCTCCTAGCTTCAGATTGGCGCAGCACTGGCCACTGCAGTCACTTGGGGAATGAATCATCGGACAGAAGATATTCTTTTCAGTCTCTCCTCCTCTCTGTATATCTGACTTTGTAATAGAAATAAATACATCGTTTATGTATATATTCATATTTATATAATATATTTGTATATGTATGCATTTATATATTTTTTTAAATTTTTCTTTTTAAGATTTATTTTTATTATTTTTTCATTGGAAAGGCAGATATACAGAGAGGAGAGACAGAGAGGAAGATCTTCCGTCCGATGAT